ATGTCATTGTGACTGTTACGTCATGTGTTGAATATTTAGGTATTACATGGCAATGCATGTCATTGTGACTGTTAGTCCATGTGTTGAATATTTAGGTATTACATGGCAATGCATGTCATTGTGACTGTTAGTCCATGTGTTGAATATTTAGGTATTACATGCAATGCATGTCATTGTGACTGTTAGTTCATATGTTGAATATTTAGGTATTACATGGCAATGCATGTCATTGTGACTGTTAGTTCATGTGTTGAATATTTAGGTATTACCTGACAATGCATGGCTTTGAGGCTATTAGTTCACATGCTGAATATTTATGTTTTCAAATGATACACTTTGCACACAGTAGCTATTTCCCACATGCCTGCCTTTCATATTTCACACACACACATCACTAACTTTAAACTATCTTTGACCTCAATTATGTGTTTGACATTAAGTACACTAGTACATGATGTTATCACAGCTTCTACAATGTTTGTGACTGTTGGAGGTTTTTGTCTGTTTGAGATATTACTGCCAGTTTTCATCATGTCCTGGATTTTGCCTTCTTTCCTGATTTCTCTGTTTCCTATGTGTTCTCCAATCCTGAGCCTGACCACAAGGTTGACATTTTTTTTTATCCAGTTATTTACACTTCTTGGCTTTGTTCTTGTCTCATCATTCTCTTATGAGGAGCATTTCTTTCATCTCTCTCTTTGCTGATTGTGTCTGGTTTGTACTTAGCAGGAAGAGTGGAAAAAGTACTATCTTTATTCCATGATTCCTTTAACATGGCTTATGATCACTCCTCTGTTGACACCTTTAAATCTCAATCCCTAGAAACCCTTCGGTCTGGTGGGGTTGTTGACCCTTTATCTCCAGTATCCCTTACCTGAGCTCTCTTGTTCCATCTTCACCTTCTCCTTTCTCTGTCCCTTCACTATCTGTTTTCTTCTTATCCCCTATCTGAAGCCTCCACCTGAATCTAGTTAGTTGTTGTTCCTACATAGACAATGGGAAACCATCAAGAAGGTCAGGTGACTGTACAGTTTAAGGTTAATAATTGAGTGAAGAAAGAGTTTGTTTGTTGACTAAAACTGTAACTTTACTTAGTTTTAATATTTCAGTAATTTTTTCATTCGTGTAATGTCCGTATTAATGAACATTAATTGTCAAGAGTTACTTTATTATTAAATATGGATGTTTAATGTACCATTATTTTCCTTATATAATGGGATTGTTCAAAGGACTTCACAATTCCTGGACAGGCAGTGTTGCAGCCTATTTTTTAATCTAGGTGTGTCTTGAAATAAATTTGTATTGTTGTTTAGCGAGAAGGAAGTTTAACGTAACACAGTGGGCATGGTATTGATGTGGGAAACTTTCTCCAAAGTTATGAGTGATTTTGTTATTTAATGAGTAAACTGTGGGTGATTTAGTAAGTTTATTCATTCCTGGTATCCAGTTACTTCAGTTACTGAGCTTATGTTTCAACGAAACAATAAATATATGAAATAAATAAGTAACTATAATTTTTGTAAATATAATTTATTTTGATTAATACTGGTAACATTAAATGTAGAATTTAAATAAATTAAACATTTTTGCCCTTACTAAGTGGGCTAGATTTTTCATAAATCCAAAGAATTTAGCCAACAGCAGAAACAATTACAACAATACACTTCATGCATAATCTTTTAAGTTGCCCTGTTGTACCATGTGATTTTTTTTAAGATGTGTAAATACTCAATTAGGTTTTTTCACTAACTTGCCACCTTTGTTTTATAGAAATTTTCTTAAGTAATTATTTCAACAGTTATCCATACTCATGCACTTTATCAGAAAACCATAACATTAGATAGACTTAAATAAATCGGCTACAATCATTTTATAAAGCCTTACTTTCTACAGAGGAAACAATTTTAAATAGTTACAAGACAAGATGAGCAGAAGTTTTACTTTAACAATCACAATGACTGTTTCACAAGGTAACATTAGATTTTTTATCCAGTGCAGTATCTTTATAATTTTTTTCTTGTTTCTGAGTTGTAATGTATTTTATTGCTACAAATAATTTATTGTTTTTGAGTCAGTTGTCCTTTTTTATATGATTTTATTTGTTTTATTACTACAAATCATTTTATTTTTGAGTCAGTTTGTCCTTTTTATATTATGTTTTGTTCCTATAAATCATTTTGTTTTCAACTCGGCTTGTCTACTAATCATTTTGTTTTTGAGTTATGTTCTCCTGTTTAAGTGATTTGTTTTATTACTATAAATCATTTTGTTTTTGAGTCAGTTTGTCCTTTTTATGAGATATATGTTTTTGTTCCTACAAATCATTTTGTTTTAAACTTAGCTTATCCTGTTTCAAAATATGATGGGTTTTATTATTACTAATCATTTTGTTTTGATCTAGGTTCTCCTGTTTAAGTGGTGTGTTTTATTACTACAAATAATTCTATTTTTTATGAGTCAGCTTGTCCTGTTTATGAGATGTGATGTGTTTTATTCTTATATATCATGGTATTTTTGTAAGAAGTCCTGGTTTTTGTTTCTATTTTATGGAATAATAGTAATTATGCATTTGTTAATTGATGTTTTAAGGATAAGTAGCTTTCTGAAATGGTACTACCTCTTTTCTCCCATAGCTATCTTAACCATTAACCATCATTCGCCCTCTAGGCATTGGTCAAATTTTTTTTGAACAGCGCACCAGTCTTTTATACCCCTATATTTTTCTTCAATGCAACAACATGTGCTGATCATGTGGCCACCCTCCACCAATCCCATTGCACCTCTATACTAGCACATGTAGCTCCCTCTTCCATTGCGGCACGATCCTCACTTTCTCGATTGGCATTCTCGTGTATAGACTTGTGTTTTAGCTCATTCTCCATGTGTCTGCACAATTTTGATTGGCTTGATCACCAATTAATATCAGTTTCAAGTTTCTACTTGTATGTATTTGAGATATTTCTGTTTCCCGAATTCTGCTTTGTTTATTTGAATTCGGGTTTCCTATGGCAGTTGATAATTTTACCACCATAACAGTAGGCCTCAGTCTCAGGTTTGACAATGTCTGTTGAGGAAGCACAGCCTTTTGTTTGTGGGGAGTTTGTGTCTTACGTTTGGCCAGCGATGTTTTACTTTCAAGATAGGTATTGTTCTTTCTCCCAGGAGATCTGTGGTAAGTTTTTCAGTGTGTATTTCTCACTCCTTGTAGCTATACCCATGTTAAATGAGTTTATGTGAGCTCATGTGTATGATCTTATTTCTGCACTCAATAATTTGTCATTCAAGTCTTTTCTGGTCAATGTTGGGTAATTTTGGATTTTATATCTTTTTTACCATCTAGGTTATTTAGTTTACAACATGCTTTTGGAGTTTGTTTCTTGTGTCAATTTTGTATAATATTCTACATTTTTTCATTGTTAATGTTTTTTAGTTATAAGTTCCTTTTTATGTATCTTTACCACTAGTCACATCTAATTGGGGATTAGTTTTGAGTCAAACTTTGTTTTTATTCTCATATTCTTTAGGATAAGTTTTCTTTTTGTATCCTTTATCTTGCATCTTCTTTGAGTTGATTTATACATTCTATGTTTATGGTTCTTTTATCTTATCAGTCCCTTTAGATGTTACTTATTGTTTTATGTTTTAGGTTGATTTTTCTTAGTTTTGCAGGTGTGTTGCTTTTAAGGTCTTTGTAGACTACACATTTCTAAATTTTTGTTTGTTCATTAGTTCTGTGTACTTTCTTAAATTTCTTTGGTTTGTCTTTTTGGCTACACTTCATGACAATGCTGTTCTTTTTTACGGGTTCTCTATGAGGGTTTCTGACTTCCATTGTACTTCCACCTCTACTCTCACTTCCCAAATCTCCTACCCTCCTCCTTGTGATTGTACCTTCTCCGGTTGTCTTTTTTTTATCAATATATATATATCTATTCTTATATATATATGTATCTCCTGAGGACCATCACTCATGGACTTCATAAGTAAAGCAGATAAGGATTTTTACACATCCCTACTGACCTGTGATTCTTACAATCCGGGTCTTTCTTCTTTCCAAAATAGGGAAACACAGTCACCCATTGCACTGTCTCCAGTGGGTTATTCTTCTGGACCCCCAGTGCATCTCCCCCCTCTTCTTCTAGTGGAGTATGGGGGTCCTTGCCACTTCTGGTTCCCAGTCTCTGGAGTGGTGGACTGTGAAGATTTCCTCATGAGTGGGTTTTGTACAATAACACAATCTCAAAGTCATACATACTCACTCGATGAGAAGAGGGCTATCATCATTATATTGCAAATTATACACAATATGACATGAAATTTATTATGCAAAGCACTTCCACTGGATGTTTTATGCCCAGATGGACTGCATTTGACATAATCCAATGTATACCAAGGGGCTTCCCCCAGATGTTTTTCCTGGGTGGACCTCACATGGCTATCTTGATATCAATCCAAGGCACTTCCCCTGGATGTTTTGCCCAAATGGACCACACTTGTTGATTATACAAACTTATGCAAGACAGTTCCATATTGTTTTTGTCCTTGGACCACACTTGACATAATACGTTGTATCCCAAGGCTCTTACGCTGGATGTTTTCTGCCCAGATGGACCACGCTTGGCCTATTCATATATGGTCCTCTATCCCTCCTATATATTATATTTGTTTCCATCCTACGTGTCTTATCTTCTTTAATGAGTGAAGAGCATACTGTTCCAAAAGTAGTGCTATACCCTACAGGTGTGTCTCATATTTCATTTGTGACACACATGCTTTTTTCATAGTGGTCACCTTCACTGGCCCCTCCACCTTTCCAATGTGAGATTCTAGCTATGGGGGAGAAGAGGAAGTACTGTTCTACCATTGTTTTGGGGTTTGTATATGCCAATTCTCAAAAGTGAGGCTTGTGCCACAATGGTAGAGGAAGCCACTTGTGCTAGTATAGAGGGTACAGTGGTATTGGTGGAGGGTGGTCATATGATCAACACATGTTGCTGCAATGATGCAAAAAATATAGGGGTACAAAAGACTGGTGCAGTGTCCAAAAAATTTAACCAATGCCTGGAGGGCAAATGAAGGTTGTGATAGCTATGGGTTAGAAGAGGTAAGTACCTGTCAGAAATACATTTTCATTTTTAGAAAATGTTAACTTTTGGGAATTAAAAAAAACAATAATAACATTTGTATAAACATTACAATAGTTTTGAAGAAAAATAAATTGAAATTCACTTTGAGATAATGCACTATTTATTTTATTAATATATTTGAAATATTCAATTATTTTATTATTCAAAAATTATTCTTTATTTTTGTCATCTTAATTTGTATGTAGAGTTTTGTACACCTTGGCCTAAACAATTAAAAACAGATGAAATCTGCGATAAAGAATTTCCAGTGGAAATTATAACAAATGATTACTGTCATGCTGGACCATCTATCCGTGACTCCAGGGCAAGGATTGTGACTCTGAAGGTAAGTATTTATGTGCTTGCTGGAATCTGAAATTAATCCTAATACTTAGATTGCATTTCTGGGATAAGCTCATGTTATTACAGGATAATCATGATTTCATTTCTCTACTGATAATCGGTAAATTCATGTATGGCCAGGTGGTTGGGGCGGTCGACTCCAATCTATGGGACGCGGGTTCGAATCCCCATCACACACAAACATGCTCGCCCTTTCAGCCATAGGGTTGTTATAATGTGACAGTCAATCCCACTATTCATTGGTAAAAGAGTACACCAAGAGTTGGCAGTGGGTGGTGATGACTAACTGCCTTCCCTCTAGTCTTACACTGCTAAATTATGGATGGCTAGCAAAGATAGCCCTCGTGTAGCTTTGCACGAAATTCAAAAACAAACAAAATTCATGTATGGATGGTAGTCATGACTTCATGTCTCTACCAATGATCAGTAGATTTATGTATGGATAGAAGAGCCATGATTACACATATCTACCAGTAATTAGTAGGTTCATGTATGAATAGAAGAGCCATGATTACACGTATCTACCAGTAATTAGTAGGTTCATGTATGAAGTAATTAGTAGGTTCATGTATGAATAGAAGAGCCATGATTGCACGTCTCTACCAGTAATTAGTATGTTCATATATGAATAGAAGAGTCATTATTTCATTTCAACTAGTTCATTCTTATCTAATAACAGCAACATTAATATGATAAATTACCCAGTTTTCATACTGTTTCTATTTGTAGATTAAAATGAATGAGTGTAATTTATTATATTAATGTTTCTGTTATTAGGTAAGAGTGAACCAGTATAATTTAGCATATTGTTTTTTTATTAGGTAAAATGAACTAGTATAAGTTATCACATTGTTTCTGTTAGGTAAGAATGATGAAATGTAATTTATCATATTGTTTCTGTTATTATTTAAGAATGAACCTGTGTAATTTATCATATTAATGTTTCTGTTATTAGATGAGAATGAATTGATAGTGTTATTTGTTGTGAGACTTCAGGAAACTGTTTTTGTTATAAATTTACAATGAATTTCTACTTTTGAGGAACAGTTATGTATCCAATACTTTATAACCATTAAAAGTCTTCCCTTTTAAGTATCTAGTCATAGTAACTGAACTTCAATATTAAGAAGGTCTTGTGAGTTTCTGTCTGCAAGGATGCTACTATGTTGCTTTACAAAATGATTTGGATTATTTGATGAGTTTGGCAAATAAATGGCATATGACTTTTATTAATATTAAACTCAAAGTAATGCATGTGGGATATCACAATTTGGAATATGAGTGTTATTGAAGATAAAGATTATGGTTTTCTAGTTCATCAATCTTTTGAGCCATAATCTATTTTTTATTTAGTGGTGAGAATAGATTACGTATGAACACCATCAATTTTCTTAATCACCTCAATTAGATCCCCCTCTAACTCCTCCCAATTTTCATGAGATCTTAATGCATAATCTATTTTTTATTTAATGGTGAGAATAGTAGGACTAAAGCGCACAATCGTAAACTTTGGCAGGTTAGGAGACATCTTCTGCTAAGACTGCTATATTTTTCTAATAGGGTTGTTGACCCTTAGAATGAGTTGCCTTCCGATATGATAAGTGCAGTTAATTTAAAAGAAGGTTTGATTAATATTTGAATGATAAGGTGTTTTATTTTAGAGTTAGTATAGTGGTTGATATGGCACTGATTGACCAACAAGTCCTATGTTAGCCTTAAATTATCTATATGTTATGTAATTAACATGATATTATACAGAATATCACATTTTTTTATTATATTTCCTTTATTCTGTTTGCTGTAATGGCCACAGGTAAAACTGTCAGTCTTGCCACTAGACTACCATGCCAAAGACAAACTACTTCGTCTAGTAGCAGACCGATATGACCCCACTAACGATGTACTTTCAATCACTGTAGACAGGTAAGACTAGTAACAGTTATTATTATACAAACATAGAGTTCATTATTACAGGTTTTTTTTCCAGAACAATACTTCACTACAGGGAAATAAATTGATATCATTAGAATTAAAATGTGTATCTAAGTTATAATAGGATCAAAAGTTACCCCTAATTTATCTACATTGTTACAGCATTGCTTATAAGATCTTTCTTTTACGTATCAAATGTAATATTAAGTTATCCCTTATCCATCTAAATTACAGCATTGTTTTTAAACTCTTTCATTTACTTATCAAAGGCAATATTAAGTTATCCCTTATCTAACTCAACTGTTATGACATTATATGCCCATGATGTTGTGGTGAGGGCACTCAACTCACAATCTGTGGGTTTGGGTTTGCATCCAATCACCAAACCTGCTTGCCCTTTCAGCAGTGGGGGATCTTATAATATGATGGTCAATCTCACTATTTGTTAGTAAAACAGTACCCAAAAAGTTGTTGGTGGGTGGTGTTGTCTTTCCTTTAGTCTATTGCTTCTAAATTAGGAATAGCTAATGCAGATAGCCCTTGAGTAGCTCTGTGTAAAATACAATAAAACAAACAAACGACTTAATATTGCACCTTTAGTTATGAAATTTTCAGGTATTTACCCATCTAAACTGCTACAGCTTTAATCCAAACATGTTATAGCATGTCTTAAAAATATTCAGTGCTTGATAAAAATCACCTGCAAATTCATCTATTTTAATTGATTGCTGCATCCAGTTTTTCTAAGCCCTTGGATCTTCAGTAAAACAACCCATTATTCTTACATAAAATGTGTTTTTATTTTATCAACCTATCCATCAATTTATTATCCTTAGGTAAGACATTGTGTTTTTATTTTATCAATTCATTCATCAACCCATTATCCTTAAGTAAGACATTGTGTTTTTATTTTATCAACTTAACCCATCAATCCATTATCCTTAAGAAAAAAGTGTGTTTATTTTATTAACTTACCCCTTCAACCCATTATCCTTATGTAAGACGTTGAGTTTTTAGTTTATCAACTTATCCCATCAACCCATTATCCTTAAGAAAAAAGTGTGTTTATTGTATTAACTTACTCCTTCAACCCATTATCCTTATGTAAGACGTTGAGTTTTTAGTTTATCAACTTATCCCATCAATCTATTATCCTTATGTAAAAAATTGAATTTTTTTTATCACATTACCCCATCAATCTATTATCAATGCAGAAAGAAGCCATTATATATTGAAAATTAAATAACCTGAAATGACGCACAAACCAAAAATCAATGAGTAAGTCTGTTAAGTTAAGCATTTATAAAACTGCATATCTATTCAAGTTATCTACTAACATGATATTAAAATTTTGTATTATTATTCTCTGGTCAGTTTGTAGAAAACCAGCTGGAGGATGTATTTATATATTCATTATGCTTATCATAGCCTTACATTATCAACCATTTTGAATAAAGCTCTCAATACTGGTTCCAGGTGCCCTCTTCGGAAGCAGAACTATGACTATGCCTGCTACCTGTTGACAGCACTATTTTATGAGTCGTGGGTAAGTTGTCAAACCTCATTTTTTGTTGAAAACAACAGATTGACTACCAATATATTTACTTCTTTTTGTGTATGCATAATTTTAGACGGGGAATTCCGGGTATAGTTACTTACAATTTCAGTAAATAAGGATTATTAGAGTTTAAGAAACACAATCATGGTAGATTAAGGTTTCCTTTGTAATATAGATATGCCTTGAGGTAGTTTTGTTTAGCATGAAAAATATTAAGATTTTTTTTTGTAGGGTTATAAAGATGTTTCTAACAAAGATATACTTGTCTTACTGAACTAAACAAGTAGTAAGATTTCTCAGACAATGGAATGTAGGTTTTTCTTGAATTACGAGTTAATATTGTATGTTATTATGCATTCAGATGAGAAGATACGGTTCTCATCTATTAGTGTATATTCTGAGATGAAGATAGAGCTCTCATAAAGGCTCAGATTTTATCTTTGACCATCAGTGAAAACAAGTTCACACTTTATTTAGCAGTCTAACCTTAAACTACATTTTGTATTTCATAGCTTCAATTGAAATTACATATTAATAGTTACCGTATGCGAGGAATATACAGTGTATGGTATGGGATAAGTTTGAAGCATCTAGTTGGTGGAAGTGGGAAAGGTAAGATTGAAACATAAGAATAATTTGAGTAAGAAATTGATTAACTTAATTAAGAATGATGAACATTCAAAAAAAGAATTTAAAAATTAATACTGTGATACTAAATGAGAAGTATATTAAGTTGTTAAACAACCCCAAAATAATAAATATATCAAAGGAAAATATCATAACAGAACAAATTAAAATAATATTTACAAACAGAATAAAGGTTTGTCTATGGGGTCATCCTTATCACTCTTGTTAGCAGACATTTTCATGTTGAGGTAGAAATTAGTGTTCTAAAGATAGCATTGATAAAACCCGAGGTGTGGGTATGGTACGTGGATAACACGTTTCTGGTGTGGCGACATGGTAATGACACGTTAATTGAGTTCCAGAAGCATCTGCCTTTGATCAGCCCTAATATACAATTCATTTTAGAAGTTGAAGATGATGGTTGTTTAAGTTTTTTAGATGTTTTTGTAAAAAGAGAGAAGGGTTTTCTGTTAATTTTTGTATACAGGAAACCATTCTCAGTTGTCATGTTGCCGCATGTGAGATCGTGTCATCCATGGTCATAAAAAATGTCCTCATTTTTATCTTTTGTTTATAGGACTATCAATATTTCGTCATATGATGATAGAATTAATGTATTTAAAACAGGTAGTGATTGATAGAGGGTATCAACCTCAAATCATAGATAGGATGTACAGTAAATATTACAACAAACTTCAAATTTCTGGATGTATGAAACTGGAAATAACAAAACAGGAAAATAGAGAAAGAATATGTTTGCCTGATGTTTTACCATGGTTAATAAAAATAGGTAATGTGTTTAGGCAAAACTTGAATTGCCAAGTAACATTTACTCCTCAATTAAAATTAAATCATATAATTAATGGTTTGAAAGATAAAATTGAATTGAGGGTTAAATGGGGTATATACAAAATTTCATGTACTTGTGGTCTAAATTATATTGGACAGACAAGTAGGAACCTAAAATTGAGAGTAAAAGAACCTCAAAAAACTGTGGATCAGCTTTGGCAGAACATGTAGCAAATTTTAAACATATTATTGATTGGGATAGTATAAAAATTCTTAAACAGTTAATGGGAAAAGTATAAGAGAATCTTTAGAAATTGTTAAAAACAAAAGGAATTTAAGTAGAGATTTAGGCCTAGTAGCCACCAAAATAATTTTTTGGAAATTATTGTTGTAAATGGCGCCATTATACATATATGCTAATTATACACGTACCTTAGGTTTATAAGCAGTGTTATGTGTACTTCTTAATAAATTCTCCTGAAGATCGTGAAATTATTTACTGCTCAAAATTTCATATTTTTTAGACTAAAACACATCTTAGTCACTAAGCTTGATAAATTATAGTGGAATTCTAAGGTATTAATGTAGTGATTATGATTTTTAGTTATTGAATAAAACCTAAAAAAATATTTTGTTTAATATCTTCCACATGCAAATTTTTAAAGGCTTCGCAACATACGTCAAGCAGCAACCGAGTACAAAGGTTGTAACTAGAAGAGATGATTGTTTGCTTTACTTCTTTATTTACTGTTCTATTTTTTAAGAAAAATAAGTTTAAGAACTTATTTCAAAATAGCAATAGAATAGTCTATATATACATATATAATGTATAATAATTGAAATGTGACTGTATTTTACAAAATACCAGTCTACTAAAACACAGCCAAGACAAGTTACTTTGTACTGACCAAAGGTTACCTTTATGTTATTTACATGAGTGCACGTGAACCACTTTGTTGTAACTTCTGTATTGTTAGCCAGGCACGGGTGAAAGGTCAATATAAAAAAATAATAAATATATATAAATGTATAATCTTATGACATTTAAGATATTTTGTCTAAACATTTACGGTTTCATGTTATGATTTGTGTTCATTCTAGAATGAAAGAGGCATAATTTATATTTATTTCCTTTTTTTTATGGTGGTTGAGAGATCAGTCAAATCTACCGAACCTGTACAGAGAATAATTACTGAAAATAACAGATAAAATAAAAAGTTTTTTCTTAAGAAGCATTTCATAATTATCTGGACATTATAAAGATTTAGCATGTGAAATTTCAAAGTTTCTTATGCATAAAAGTAATTTTAATCCTGAAATGAATATTACTTTGCATGATAGATAGGCAACATGCGAAAAGAAAAAAAAAAGGCAAGAGAGAAACATTGCTTTAGAAACCTTAAAACTTAATAAAGAAATTAGATATTTTGCATAAAAAAGCATTGTAATTTTTAGTGATAAGACACAAATTTTGTTAAAATTCATTTACTAATTTAAAAGTTATAGCATGAAAACATTAACAAGCACAAAATGGTCAGTCCTAGGGACTGAGCCAGTGCTGAAAGAGTTATGGTGATTTTAAAGGTATCCTTAGGTGGAATGAAGTTCATTTCCTGTGTTATAGAACAAATAACTCGAATTATTAAACAAAGCCTTATACATGAAAATACTTAAATTGTCAAATATCAACTCTTACACCCTATTCACAGTACAATATTATTCTTCCTAATTAGGATCTTAGAGGTTTCTTGACCTTTGACTCCCATATTTCAACTCCTCCTTATCTTGTATTGCTTAAGTATTGTATGTTATTAAACATTATATGAAGATTTTTACCTGTTAAAAACTAGCTTCAATCTCAACAACTTGGATTTTGCATTATGATAAATAACAAGAAGCTCCAAGGCGGTTGTTGTTTCTTTATTTTTTTAGGAGTAGATATCATTTTCTTATAACTAATACTATAAAAAGTCCAAATATAAACAAAAAATCGATCTGCAAAAACACATTTTACAGTTAGAGTGGTCAAACATATTAGTGATGTTTTGTAATAATCTCACTTGCATACACAAAAGCCTTTTTGATATACAGCGGTTCCCTGACCGTACAATGTGTAAACATCCTCTTTGAGACTGAAGAGGATGCACGAATTTGTCAAAACTAGTTTCTCTGATATCAGACTTGTGACAGAGTGTTCCGTTTACTGTGTTTTTTTTTCGTTAATTGCTGTAAACAATATTGTGTTCTTTTATTATTATCCTCTATTTTGTTTCTGTTGACCCCATTGACTTAAAGCTGGTGTCAAATAATTCTGTTTTCACTGTGTATTTCAATGAACTGCTACTTGAATACTAACTCTGATACTGAATTTTGGTCACTAATCTTACCAGTCAATCTTTAGAATAACCCGTTACCCCTAAAACTATAGTTATATCCCAGTGGAATTTTATCATAAGTAATTCAGAATAACACATTATGTTTAATACTACTTATAAGAAAAATTATCATAAAGAATTCAGAACACTACAGATCTTATTACTAGTGTTATATCCCATTGACATATTACCCTAAAGAATTCAGAATAACACATTGTTTTTTAATACTAGCTACACACAAATTAAATTTTTATGATAAAAAAATTCAGAACAATACAGTTTTTAATACTAATGTTATATAGAGGTTGAGTACATTATATTAAAACCATTTTTGAGCATAACCATGTCAGTATTGATGATGTTTTATATGACGACCACGTGTCTTTTCAGTAATAGCACTGCAGTATAGTTTCCTTAGCAAAAACTTCAGAAATGATCTGTTTATTCCACCAATCAATGATGACAGTTCAAAATGTTCTGTTTCTTCCACCAATCAGTGATGACAGTTCATTTCTCAAACTGGACTTGCTGTTTCTTAAGTCATATTTATAGTTAAATTTATGCCACCTGTCCAGCATTACAATATTTAGCATTTTCAACAAACCTTTCTCTTCTTGCTGAATGTTAAACTAAATCGCGTGTTGCATAGTATTTAATGAACTATTTGATTGATAGAAATCAGTAATAATATATAATGGATTAGTAATTGATATCTTTCATTATACATCTGTTACATGGCACTAAATGGACTGTATGAATGATGAAATGGCACTTGATTCCACACTTGATCCCTGTTCACAGGAATCAAGTGTGGAAACAAGTGCCATCCATCATATATATGGTTCATTAAGTACCAAGTAACATATTTATAACAAACAGGGATCAAGCATGCAATTAAGTACCATTCCATCATTCATAAAGTACCATGTAATAGCTGTATAATCCATTATACAGCTATTACGTGGTACTTTATGAATGATGGAATGGTACTTAATTGCATGCTTGATCCCTGTTTGTTATAAATATGTTACTTGGTACTTAATGAACCATATATATGATGGATGGCACTTGTTTCCACACTTGATCCCTGTCCATTATACAGCTATTACATGGTACTTTATGAATGATGAAATGGTACTTGATCCCTGTCCATTATACAGCTATTACATGGTACTTTATGAATGATGGAATGGTACTTGATCCCTCAGAAACTGTCAGGCATACTGGAGGGCTTTAGACATTTTTACAAAGAGTTAGAAAAAATATTACCCTTGCTCTCCAGATGATAAAAAAAAGAACTTTTTATTTGAACTTACGTTTCGCCACTGTGGCTCCATTGAAGCTGGTTTTTTTACTAGCTCTAGGGTGAAACGTGGGCTAAAATAAAAAAAAGCACCTGGTTCCTGTTCATTATACACATATTACATGGTATTTAATGAACTATTTGAATGGCAGTTCATCCCTGAAACTCTTGAGTTACCCCTATGTTTAAAACAGTAGTCTTTTATATTCTCATTTTTTTCATTAATGATATGATATATTTTATTGTTACAAATAAACTACTACAAATTGAGGTTTTAATAAAATTAGTTCAATAAATTTCAGTTCTCATTGAAGAGCACTTGTTTTACAGAAAACATGCTGTTAAGTTGACATGTTGTAAAAGGTTTTGTAAGCTGTTGTTAGATTTTCTGATTTATTTTTTTTGCCATCATGTAGAAAGTAGAACCTTGGGAGTCTGAAAAGACTGAAGCTGATATGGAGAAATATTTCTGGAATGGAAGTCGGTCACAAAAGGCAATTGTAAGCACTTTTAGATGGATGCAAGGAACTGTGCCTTATGAGGTGTGTAAATTTATGCAATCTAACATCCATATCTTATTCTTTATTTACACTAGTCTTATCAGTATTTTAGTTTCACGTAAAATAAATAGGATATTTCTGATGTTTCTTGTGTTGATATTATCAATATTTTAACATTTCTTGTGAAATAAATAAGATGTCTAATGTTAGTTGTGTTGGTATCATCAATATTTTAAACATTCATGTGAAATAAACAGGGTATAATTGATGTTGGTTGTGTTCATATCATCAATATTTTAACATTTCATGTAAAATAAAAAAGATATCTCTGATTCTGGTTGTGTTACTGTATTTCAGGTTTCTGAAACAGATATATTGGCCCAAAAAGTGGCTGAGCACTATGGAGAGGCAGTTTCTAGTATCTACAACAATGGAGAAAGCTCTGAAACTTTGCAGCATTACAAAGATGCTGCTTGTCAACTTTTGAACATTACCCAGGAGAAGATGTCATGACTTTTGAAATGTTTAAAATAATCCAAATAGTGTAATTAGATATCATGGTCCATCATTACAGAAGGCTTCATTATGAACTAGTTGAGTTTCAAAAGAAGACAAGTTCATTTAATGACATCATTTAATCTGTTGTAATTTTGTTTATTACTTACTTTGTACTACAACATATTCTTACATTTGGGTTTCAGCAGTAAAGTTTTAGTTTTTGTTGTTAGTGGAAACAATTGTATAGTAGATTTTTTTGTGCATTTCAAATAATCACAGGAATATAAGAACCCCCCCCCCCAACCTCCCATAGTAGTTTGATATGTATAATTAGTAGCAACTTTCTATCTGAGTGTGGTAAAATTTAGTTGCTACTTCTCACGATTAGTAAAATTAACTGATAGGTTTGGAATCAACACTAAATAAGTTAACATTTTGTACATAAACATGTATAATGTGTTTCAACTAACACTGGTGATAATAGATTACCTCTGTTGATGAGTATAAGGTTTTGTTTTTTGCCATCTAAGATTTAAAGCATAGGTTGAAAGTGATAAAACATCATAGTTTATTTTTCTTTATGTGTACTAGATTTGGCATGTAACTTAATGTTATAATAAAATCTGTGAATTCTTTATCTAAAGTGCTATTTAAAATATCAGTGCTACATAACATGTAAAAATACATTTATAGAAATGTTATTTTTCTTGGATTTGTGTGTCCCTTATAAACAACCCTGATTCATTTTAACATGTCCATTAAATAGTAAATATCAGGCTGGTTGGGATAAAACAGACATAGTAGTAGTCAAGCTGCTCTTAGTTATTTGAATCTGCATGTTTGTACAGTACAAGGCACTAAATATGCAATCTATATATGACCTAATTAAAGCATTACATACAACTATATATATATTACTGGTAATCAAGAAGACTTTATTACTACACAGTACCAACTGTTAGCAAGAATCATTATTTTTGTTGACATTAAGTTACAATTATAAACTGTGTGATTCATTTGCACATATAATGGTCTACTGTAAGGATCACCAGTAAAGAAATCTTGGGTAATGCAAAATATGTAATGAAAGATATGTTTAGGAGAGCAGGTAGACAACTAATAGTTTGGATTGAATGAAGAAAATGTAGATAAAGATATTAAGATTATAAATTCAGCAGTAATTGAATATATTATTCCATATTATATTCTGAATAAAATCACACAACATAAATTGTTATCAGGGTTGGCATATTGCTAAAATATGTTGGATATTTTAGGTATCTTTGTAGTATATAATTACTGACTTCTGTGTTAATAGATGGGCAACTTCCTTCACATTTTCTAAGAATGTTGATTATTATTATTATATTGAGCACATATTCTTAATCTTTTCAATATGCAATGTTACTGTGTCATCCCCTTGGGTAGAGTAATTATTATCTCCTATAGAGAACAAAGCTGCTAGAATAAGGCAACTTCAATGTTTGTTGACCACATGTTTATGATAAAACTGCATAGAAACAAGATAAACAAAACAATTTTTAAATTCTTACATTACTAAAAGTAGTTAGAAAACAGTATTCCTGCATATCACATGTAGAATGTAGAATTCTTCATAAATGTGATATCTGATATCATAAATGACATCTACATATTACAATATGGGTTCAAAGAAACTGAAATCATTGAATCAAATAACTTACTTTATACTAGGATATGTTTAAGAACTAGATATTTCTTTTGCCAGAAGAGTGGATGATGTGTATATACGGCTGACCAATGGTGTGAGAGAACAAGGGTTACAAAATGACTTCCTTGCAAGAGGACCAGGCATGTCTTTGGGGAAGTATTCTGCTTACTCACAATCTTTGAATTGTGGGTTCATATCTCATTACTGAACATGTTCCCCCTTCTGCCAGGGGGCATTATAATGTGATGGTCAATTCCACTATTATTTGGTAAAGAATAGCTTAAGAAATGGTGGTAAGTGGTGTTGACTAGCTGCCTTTACTCTTGACTATCAGTCTCTCAGTAGGACAGTGGTAAATCTACGGACTTGCAATGCTAAAAATCCGGAGTTTAATTCCTAATAGTGAACACAACAGATAGGCCAATGTGGCTTTGCTATAAAATAAACAAACTAAACTAGTCTATCATTTCTAAATTGGGAATGGCTAGTGCAACTACCCCTCAAGTATCTTTGCATGAAATTCAACAAAAAAATAATCCCTCACAAGAGAAATAATATAAGCTTTCCTTGTATATTGAAGCAACAACAACATTCATTCTCGGTTCTAACTTTGCTGCAAAGACCATGGAAGAAATTCAACAGTAATAGGAAAACTGAAAAGTAGTAGAGAGAGCCGCCCGGTAACCAGCAATGATCAATACCTATAAACCCTGGTCGAAAAGCCACGTGAAGAATTTGGAGAGATGGGAACAGAAGAGGAGAAAGAATTAAGCAGTGTCCAATAAAAAAACATATGAGAAGGGAGGAAGTGCAAACAGAATGGAAAAGAAAGAAAGATGCATGCAAAGAGTGTCCACAATGTCTTGCAAGGAACCACGCAAATCCTATGGGTGAAGTCAGAGTGAGGCTGTAGAGGAAGAGAGGAGGGAAGGACTGTTTAAGACCCAATGGAGGGAACCATGTTTGAGCCAGCCATTAGGATGCCACAACAGGACCAGACAAGGAGTGTTCTGAATGAGAGAGAGAACACAAGGGAGAAGATGAATGGGGATTAAGCTTAGGGAATGAGGTTGGACCAGTCCTGATTGAATGTGTCCCCTGCCAGAGTCAATGGATGCAGAACAGAAGACCAGAAAAGGGGGAAGCTTAGCAAAAGCATCGGTGAGACGGGTGCCCAGACGAGAGCAAAGCCACTGGTAAACTAGATGTTTGAGAGATCACTTCTTCTTGGGCCTTGAGAGATGATCCATGACAAGATTCACAGCACCCAGAACATGAAAAACCACCAGTTATACTTGTATGGAATTGGCCTAGAAGAGGAGGTGGAAACAGAGAAAGTGAGACGACTGAATGCCCCTCTAGTAACTAATATAGGAAACCACAGTTGAGTTGTCCATATTTATCATAACCAAGTGGTTATGCACAACTGTAGAAAATGATCCAAAGCTTGAAACACTGCCAAGTATTTCAAAATATTCATATGAAGGGCTGTTGAAACCATCAGGTGAAATCAGTGTACAGGGAAGGAGGAAGATGAATGAGGGAGGACAAGATATCCTGAGAG